AATTATACCTTGGAGTATCCTTAAGGATTTTTATGATTACATGATTAAGCTCAGTTATTAAGTGAGAAATACATGTGTAGAAAACAAAATGGTTTCATTCCCTCCTTTATTCTGAACATTCTTAGTCACAAAGGATACCTTAGGACAGGAAAACCTATTATATAATCTCTTCATTTTCTGTCCTTCTCAAATCTTGGATAGTTTTTTTCCTCTGCCTGTTCTGAGGTATCACAGCACACGTGTTAGAATGGCTGATGAGAACAAGCATGAAAGACTTCGAGTGTTGAGTGGGATGTAGCAAGACATGAATTTTCAGACGGTATTGGTAGGGCTTTAGGTTACTGTTGCCATTATGCAAAATAGAAAGGAAATTCCTGAAGAAATTGAAAATTGAACTACCATACAGATGATCAAACCCACTAATCTGAGTTTATATCTAGAGGAAATTAAATCAGTAGTTTGACGGGCTAGCTACACTCCCATAATTCTTGTAGTGTTACAGTGAGATTCACTTAGGTACACAATCATGAGAAGGGGAAAATACGGGAATAAACACAGCTTTATTGAAGCACATGACCAACACCCCTGACTAAAAGTCAGAAAAACCAAGATGTCCACTCTGGTCACACTTTACTTTCAGGTTAAATATCTTTTTGAGCTTCCATAGCAACTACAGTAACTCGTTACCTCAGTTTTGGAAATTTGACAGGAGTACCACATAGTTGTCACAAGGTTTACATTTATCAGAAGTTGCCAGTCAGGGGTCGGCAAGGCAGACCCTGGGCGGACATTGAGATCGACATTTAACTTACTTCTAGATTTGATCTAACAATTTGTCCCACTTTTATGACCATGTTTTTCTTGCTGGGTTTTATTGTTAGCTACTGGAGGGGCGGTGAAAGAGTGAGTTCATCTGCAGTGTAAGTGATTTCTAAAATGGAGTTACAAAAGGAAAATGGAGTCTCTCTTGCTCTATCAGTAGCATTGCTCAAATCCGTAGGATATATAATGTAGCAAGTGGTCATCAATGGTTGAATGAATAGAGAAAATGTGATATGAAGGTACATTGAAAACCTACACCAGCTTAGAAAATGAAGATCTTTCATTCTGTTGGTGATTTCTTTTGCTTTGCAAAAGCCTATTTAGTAAGATGAGATCCCAGTTGTGAATTTTTGTATTTCCCTTGTAATTGAGGTTTTGTTCATGAAGTTTTTGCCTATACCTATGTCTTCAAGAGTTCTACCTACTCTTTCTTCTGGCACATTTGGTGTTTCTATTTTAATATTTTGGTCTTTGATATATTTTTATTTTAGTTTAGTGCATAGTGAGAAACACAGGTCTAATTTGAGTCTTTAGCATGTGCAAAGGCAGTTTTTCCAGCAACTGTTATTAAAGAGGCTCTCTTTCTTCCAGTGAATGTGTAATGCACCTTTTGTCAAAGATGAGTTGGCTGAGTACGTTTGCAGTTGTTTCTGCATCTTCTAATCTACCCCACTGATCCTCCAGTCTGTTATTTTGCCAGTACCATGCTATTTTTATTCCAATACTTTGTAGTGGGGAAAAACTTTGTCAGCTGTTTCTCAGACAGAGGTTAATGTCCAGGATATACAAAGGATTAAAACATTAGATTGCCCAGATTTAAAGATACATTCTATAAGCAGGGATCTGAAGTAAAGAAAATTCTCAGATGAATTATAAATGGCAAATAAGTATATAAAATAGTATTCCACATCACTGGTCATTCAAGAGATGCCAATTAAAACAATACTGAGATTCCATCTTACTCTAGAAAGAATTGCAATTATCCAGAAATTGACAAATGCTGGTGGGGCTTTAGGGAAAAAGAAACCATTCTGCACTGTTGGTGCAAGTGTAGTCTGTGGAAATCAGTGTGGAGATTCCTCAAAATACTAAAATTAGAAGGTCCCTATTTGCCTTCTTAGTATCTTCCCAAAAGAATTAAAAACACCATACCACATCATATGCATATGCATACCCATGATAATACCAGCACAGTCTGTGAAAGCTAAATCTTAGAAAGAGCTCAAATTCCCATCAATAACTAAATGGATAAAGAAGATGTGGATTTTCTGTACAATGGAGTACTACTGAACAAAAAAGAAGGATGAACTAGAGACCTTTCTAGGGAAATGGACGCAACTTGAGACCATAGTCTTAAGTGAAATAAACCAGACAAATGTGCAAATATCACATTGTTTCTCTGGTATAAGAACAGAATGTGTAAATAAGGACAAGAATGTATAGTGGATATTCTGAAATAGGAAGAAAATGCTCAATTGGGAAGGGAAACTAAGGAGGGAGAGGGGAAAATGAAGGAAGGCAAAAGAAAAAAATGAGAAAATGGAGATAAAATGGAAACAAAGCTTTTGTGTATGTTGAAGGGAAGAGACATGGGAATCAAAAAGAGAACTTAAGATATATATTGTACAGGTACAAATTACCGATGAGAAGTTTCAACATCATGTATATTTAAAATGTAACAATAAACTTAAAGGCAAAGACCATCATTGTAAATAAGTTACTTGAATGGGAAAAATTTTATGTGGAGACAAGTAATCCAAGTACAGACAGACAAGTACTACATGATCCCATGTGTATGTGGGATGTAAAACAGTAGCACTCAGAAAAACAGAATGTTGGTCACTGGTGACTAGGGCCTGGGGGTACTGAGTAGATAAATATTCATCTCTTTGCAGGGAACAAGTTCAAGGGGTATACTTTAAAACATGGTAATTATAGTCATTAAAATTATCATATTCTTGAAACTGGGTAAGATCATATTTAACTGTTCTACCCAAAAAGATATATGTATGTATGTGTATATATATATATATATATATATATATATATATATAAACCTATGTATATGTATTTTAAACCAATACATTTATGAAAATACACATATGTATTCGTATTTATGCAACAATTACAGTTGCTGAGTTTTCCTCCTCTTTCAAACACCAAAGTTTTCTCCTTGCTCCCTGTGGGACTGCGCTCCTGTAGCTGTTTGAGAAGGATTCTCCAAAGCACTCAGACTCTGTCTGTGTGGAGATGCCCACAGAAACTGCTGATTGTTTCTGGGAATTGGGATCCGGAATTGGGATTCTTTGTTTCTTTAGTTGGTCCTTGCAGTCATCGTGGCTGCCTGAACATGCAGTCATGAAAATGACACATGAAGTGGTAATTGCGTTTCAAGGGGAGCTGAGGTCACACAACCATGGCCCATATCTTGGGATCTGGCCTCCTCCCTCGCACAGCATGAGGTTTCATGATATCACCTCAGCCTGCTGCTCAAGAAGCAGGTAGGTGCTGGGCTGTATTTTCTGTTCTAGTCTGTGAAATACAGGCTGTGAGAGAGTGAGCTCACTCAGGGGCTGTGTTTTGGTGAGTCTTCATATTTAGAAAGGTGATTGGTCTAGGGTGACAGAGACACACAGGGAGGGGGAATGATTCCTGAGGCCCACGCTGAGCTGTGGACAGAGACCAGAGCTCTGAGGCCCCTCAGCAGCCTCTAACTCCTCTCCCTATGCTTTCATATAACCAACATGAAAGATGGTTGTGACAATTGTTTTGAGCAGTAATCTCACCTCATTTTGAAGATCTGTAAGACTGACATTAGGAAATCACTCTGCTGTTCAGAGTGCCGTGTAGAAATCACAGAGAAGCTGACATCACTTGCATCATTGCCTCGGTTAAAGCTCTTGTTTGTGAGAATGAGGGTGCTAGAGAAAATTGAATCAGCATTTTCCTGTATAAACAATATGTTCAGATGGCAATTTCTGGATCATAATGATTTTTCTCTCAGTGAGTATGAGGTAATGAATGGAGATGGTTTCTAGGTCTCTCTGCAAATATTTGTTGTCTATCGACCATGTTGGACAATTTTTTCTTTTGTCTTTTGGAAAGGTGGTTTCCATAAATATGAACTTAATAGTTGATTGACTTAAACTGCAAAAAATTAAGGAGGTCAAGTTGTTTTTGATTCAAATCTGTCTTGTTATATTTTTCAGGTTTAAAACTTTTATGTCATTTTGTTTCTCCATGTCATCTTGGGCTATCATCATGTGTGTGGTATAAAAGCTCAAAATTCCATCTATCACACATTATGTACTTTGTCATCATCCTTCAATGAGATTCTACCACTTTATTTTCTAAATTCAGAAAAAATAGTAAGCTAATATTTAGTGATGGCTAATTCAGTTTCTATGACTTAAATTTCACATCTTCAGTATTACCTTAGAGAATAAAATCAATAATATATGTCTATGTTCAATGATTTTGGCAAAACTTTGTTGCTATTGTAACATTGACCCATGTTTATGAAGTGCAAATTTGGTTATAAGAGATTACTTCGTCAATCATTCATTTTAAACTTTGTGAATATTCCCTTAGGAATGATTCTGTGGTATAAATAAAATGTTCACACAGAACATGGTTATCACAGTCACACAGAACCTACAAGTTTCTGTAGGAACATTTTAAATGTGAAAAACATTTCTATAGAAATATTTCAAATATTTCAATATGATATATATCTAACATCACCGCCACTCTGATTCTGTGATAATACAGTACAAAAATAGGCAAAATGTCACTAAAGTCTGGCTCACAGATCCGAATATCTTGTTTACATTTGGATGAGTCAAATACCTTCTCTTTACTAAACATGCATTTTCTTTAAGAGGAACATAATTAGGTCATAACCCATTATGGTGTGAACCCTAAGCACACTAGAATTGGTAAGCCATACATCACGGTGAACCTTACATTTAAAATCCTATATAATGAAAAGGAGCACTTAAGATCTGAAAACTTTTAAACAACAAAATACAGCATTGAAATAAAATTTTAAGGAATATGAATATGCATAAATTTTGATTCATTTTCTATGAAATATTTTCCCTACAGCTTATCTTTCTGTACAGAATCCTGTACTTTGGAATGTTTTGATATGAATCCTGCACAACTGAAGAATGACAATGATAGATCTGGAATTTGTAATCCTTTTCTTTTTCCCCATTGTCATTGGAAGCCTGGGAAATGTTTCACTTTTATGTCATTCTATATTCTGTTACTTCAGTGGATGCAGGTCCAGGTTCACAGATGTGATGCTCAGGCACCTGACTGTGGCCAACTCCTTGTATATTCTCTCCAGAGGAATCCCAGAGACCATGGCAGCTCTTGGGATGGAAAACGTCCTTAATAATGTTGAATGCAAACTTGTTTTCTATGTTCACAGGGTGTCTAGAGGTGTGTCTTTCAGCACCACCTGCCCGCTGAGTGTCTTCCAGGCCATCACCATCAGCCCCAGGAGCTCCAGGTGGGCAGAGTGGAAAGTGAAAGCCCTAAAGTGCATTGGGCCCTGTCCCATCATTTGCTGGGTCCTGCACATGCTGCTAAACATCAGAGTTCCCATGCTTGTGAGTGACAGAAAGAACAACAAAAACATCACAAACACTATAGATTTTCAGTTCTGTTCAGCTATGAGTCCAGACAAAGACAAACACTCCATTTTTGTGGCATTGACATTGTCATATGACATTTTGTGTTCAACACTTATGATCTGGAGCAGTGGCTCCATGGTTTTCATGCTGTACAGGCACAAGCAGCAAACAGAGCATATTCACAGATACAACATCTCATCAAGATCTTCTGCTGAGACCAGAGCTTCTCAAAGCATCCCCATCCTGGTCTGTGCCTTTGTGTCCATCTATGCCCTGTCTTCCATCATGTACGTTTGGTTTTCTCTTTATAACACAGCAGTTTGGTGGCTGGTTAAAACTGCTGCCTTAACCGATGTGTGTTTTTCTGCTGCTAGTCCCTTCATTCTTATGACTCGTGAGCAGTGTGTGAGCAGGCCCCTGTGGAAGAGGTGAACACACATCTCACCTTGTCAGACATGTGCGTCAGTCCACTTTATGTCTGCAGTACTGCATGCATGCATCCATCACAAAGCAAAAGGCACAAATATGAGCCCATGCTATTGTAGAGGTAGGTGTAAAGTGACAACTAAAGTTATTTTTAAAAACAATGGTAA